ATTTGTCTCTCAAGTTTCCCTCCTGTTCAGGGGCAAGATTTATTGTCATGAGTTAAATACTGTACTGTATATAGGACAGAAAAAATATCTCAATAGGCAGCTGTGTGGCTGGCATTTCTTTGACTGCTCCAGGCACAAGGCAGGTTTCACCTGCTAGTCACAAAGCATATAGTTAATCCGTGAAGGAGGTTAACAAAGTCCTGCTACTACGTCATTCAAATAGGATGGGATTTTATATTCATTTTATATTCATTAGGACCTATCACCTGCTGATCGTTTAAAAACTACTGATATTTTTGATACTTATTTAAAATTATATATTTTTCTTGCACAGAATGGAGTTACAGCATGTCTGGGTTGGGTATGAGGGGAAATGAGCAGAGATACAAATAGATCAATGCCACACTATACACAGTACTGTCGTAATATTGTTAATAATATTGCAATAGTAACAAACAGAAGCACCTGTTCATAACTGGTAGCATGGGAGACTCTACACTCCGTGAGGGGCATGATATAAATCCAAATTGTTGTTGTTGTTGTCAAATGCCCAATTCAGGATTAAACCGTTGAAGATCATACAAACAAAATTGAGAGATATTAATCACGTACCACCAGAACACACTCGGACTTCAGTCTAATGTCTCAACTGAAGGACGATACCTCGAACAATTAAGCACTCCCTCAATATTTCACTGGAGTTAGCCTACAAATCCTGGTTTGCAGCTAACACTGACAATTTTCTGACTTAGAGGCAAGGTGGTGGAATTTGACCCAAATAATGGAATCTATCTCAAAGTCCTGACCGACAATCCTCCAAATAAAAAAATTATTGCCGTGATCAAATTGGCTGCCATGTTTTTCCCACTAAATATACAGTCAATTCACTTTACATTATATTCTGTGAAGCGCTTTGAGACGTCTCGAAGACGTGATAAGGCGCTATATCAAATGGATTATTGTTATTATCAAAATGATTATTATTATTATTAAAAGAGATGAATTTACCTTAAAACACCTGCAGGCTGCCCTTGGTACTAACACGTGACACTTTCTACAGCCCAGCAGGCTGTCTCAATTTTGACGGACACATTTGTTCCAAGTTCAGTTCTTCAGCTCACCTATGCTGCTGCTGGCTGGAGAAGAGGCATTTTGCTACAGAAAGGAACAAATTAATAGACTAGACAATCTGGATCACTTGTACCCGCTTCTTTGTGACTGTGGCTGTAGCCAGCCGTTGGCAAATCCTGGGAGCAGTCCATGTGCTGAAAGGGAGAGAAAATAGAGCAAAAAAATGAAATGACTATAGATTTGATAAAGGTTCTTCACTTGTTACATGGATACTTGGATAGTCCTGACTAATGGTTTTCTCTTCTCCAGAGAGACCAAGAGAAGTAGCACTTGTCTTAACCCCTGCATCACCAATTGTCACAGACAGAAAGGCCATGGACAAAGAGAGAGAGAAATGAAATGTTAAGTGGCTGAGTGCCCATGACCATACATGAGAGGGAGACCAGTTATCTCTGTCCTATTACAAATACAGTGTATATATATATATGTGTGTGTGTGTATATGTGTGTGTGTGCCTGTCAATTTCCTAGTCTATCTATTTTCTCCTTCTGAGTTGGGTGGGTCTGAGTGTCCCATGTAAGATCATTCACCTTCTCTTCCCTTCCAGCCTGACAGAGACTAAAGTACTCCACGATCTGCAAGTGCATTATAGTTTTAAAGTGACAATCCACCTCAATTATCCACCAAAAATAGCTTTCGCATAGCATATAAAACAAGTCTAGGCTGTTTCACGGTTCATCTGTAATTCTACTACTAGTACCTGCTTTAATGCAGAAGTAGGGATGAGATGCTCATCAAACAGTAAACCTGAAAGCCCATATTTTCATCTTTTATTATTCTTTACTACCAGAGCACTGTTAGATAAAATCTATTATAAACACAGTGCTGTAGTTAGATTGATAGTGTACTTTGAAGTTTCATTTTACCTTGTGTCTAGTCGACCTCAGGGAACAGCTCAACCTTCACAGGCAAAACAAGCTTTTAGCCCACAATATTATGGCTTGCTGAGCTCAAGTCCTTAAAGTGATTCTGAGATGTGAACGGATGTGTAGTGAAGCCACAAACAGTGAACAAGGGTGTGACACTTCTTTTCTCACGGTGATTAAACACATGTAGCTGCCCTTTGCTGAGAGTTGAGTTTTAATGTGAGTGTAGTTTGACTATCTCAATTCTCTGAAATATTTTTCACATCCATAACTTTAAAACTCAGAAAACACCAACAAAGGCAATTCATAGTGATACATATGGATCTGGAACTTCCATAATTTGCTCAAATTATACTTTATATTCACCATTTACCAAGACCTTAACTAATCTACAATAACAATATGTGACGAGAAGCCCACGAATACCATCTATATCCCTTTTGTGATGTTTTGCTGAGAGTTTTAGGCCAATCCCTAAATAGGATATACATAATATTATCTAATACTAATCCTTGCTTTTGACATAGCGCGTTATCATGTTGTTGTGACACCCCAAAGCGCTTCACAGAATATATTATAAAGTTATTGTGAACTGTGTATTTTGTGGATGAAAATATTGCACATTTCCCTATAAATCCACTAATATACAATATAATTTACATTTATATTGTGCCTTTCACATCAGGAAAATGTTTCAAAGTGGTTCACAGCGCTGAATTGTCACCCAAGCTAGGGATGGGAGATGAAAGGGATGGGGAGGGGAAAGATGACCGAAAGTGTGGTCAAAGATGTAACTTCTAACACCAAACTGAAAGAGATAGTTTCAGGAACAGTTTAATTTTTATGGATTCCAGTAGTTAGTAACTGGACTGGGCTCTCTCCTCATGGTCTGTGTATAGTGACTGAGACATCCAATTGACAGGCTGAGAATTTTCAGAGAGCCATTGTTTAATGCCAATGAAGAGATGATCACACGACTGATTCTCTAACAAGATTTAAGAACACACCAGCTGCTGTATGCATGTGCAACCTCAATGTGATGTGATATGGAGCAGAATATATAAATCAAGCTCCACATTGCTGTACAGCAGGGAGTGAATCAGTTTTGACCCTAGTAGTATAAACACAGCAAAAACATAACCCTATCCTGTTTGCAGTTGCTAACCCATTTTCACTAAACTAATTTCTGTGAAGTTTATCTTACAGTGATAATCTTATGAGTAAGTGTCTGTCTTGATTAGACCTCCTTTAAAAAATAGTCCATAGCAACCAAGTGTCAGCGTATTGCTGCTAACCCTTTAACCTCAAGATTTATCCCATAGGGAAATAATTCAATTGACAGTTCTGCATGATAGCATGTCAGAATATTTTGCAAAAATGGCCTTTAAATTACAGCCATAGCTTTAGGTTTAAGAAGCCATAGCATGTATTGCAGAATAGCTAAATATTTACAAAATAATGGAGATGTTGCTGTAGTCTTTGGACACGGTTGCTTATGAAAACTTTAATTTTATCCATTTTATGACAATACGAGGTGGAGTGTCAGCGAGCAAGACTAGTTACATTCATACAGCTATTTGCCAATAGCTCTTTAACGTCGGGCACACTGCACTTAACACTTACACACAATAGGGAGGAGTGATATTGGATGAATCATGTAGGTGTTCGGTAATTATATCCATTCTGAAATCTTTATTGCGCATGCAAATCTTTATTCCAAGTATTGGGTACTGCTCCTGAGATTTGTTTTGTGTTTCCTCAATGCATACACACCATACTTTGCTTTCCCTCATTCAAGAGAAATATAAGTGGGTCATGTAAATATACCTACTTACTTAGATTGTGCTTAGAATTGCTCCAGATACCACACTGTGTAGACCTGTGATATATTATGTGGCTATAGCAAATGTTAGCCATTTATATGTGTGACTTTCATGGCTTTTATATGTGTGGCTTTCTTTGTAAAAATCCTCCCATGTTACTTTTAACCTAAAAAAAAGCCTTTCCAAATTGTAATATTGTGACATCCGAAACTTGTGAGTCCCTTCCTCTGGCCCTGATCCTAGCGACAATGTTGTGAATGACATGCAGTGTGACACCGGTACCATTAAATGAATGCTTCTGAAGGAATGCAGATACCAAAAGACCTGCAAGTGACCTGAAATAGCACAGATGTGAATTTCCACAAGAGAAATACAGCTCAACTGCGAGTCACACCTGCATCAGTTCTAAATGCCTCCTTTAAGCCTTGTCAGCATTGTTAGTATAATATGTAACTTCAGTCATCCAAAAAGCCATGGAAGCAATTTCAGGGACTCTGTGTTTTTATAACATACATATTCAGAGTTTGGGAATTAATTGGAATTTGATGGAATTCATGGTGCCCGATTCCAAAGATTTGAGGTCTTATCTGAGTTATTTATTAATCTGAGTTCCTTAATAAAGAATTTTTAAACCCCAAAAAGTTAGAATTTCTGGCAAGGTGTGGAAACATTACATACTTGCAGGTACCAGAATGAGCCTCTATTTGTGTAACTCAGATTCCTTATTAAAGACCTCCATTAAGAATTATCCCAAATTAGACTTCAATAGATGTTTCATATTAATTTTTGGTAAACCAATCCTATTATAAATTGATCATAAATTTATCTTAGAACAGGAAACTTGGATGTTATTTTTTACTCTGGTTCTGGATGTGGGCAATACTGGCAAAGCCAGCATTTATTGCCCATTTCTGGTTGCCCTGAGAAGATGATGGTTGGGCCTCTCTTTAAGCCACTGCAATCCTATGGAAATGGCACTCGACAATAAGAACAAAAACTTGCATTGATATAATGCCCCCGCAAGGGATAGCGTCCCAGAGTTCTGAAACGATGGTGGTGGGTTTGGAGTTCCAGAACTCTGACCCAGTGATAACGAAGGATTATCATCACTGATGTTAACTCAGACACCTCAGAAGATTTCAGTTAACTGATAATTAAAACAATAATGTTTTGCTTTCAGATGCAGAGGAAGATCATGGTGATCACCCAGATTGTGCTTCACTGAGCATCCTCACCACGGTAACCAATAAGGATGGTCTACATTACATGATGCTGCCATCAGCCAATACCTCAGATGATTTGGAGTATCAGGACCTGGCAAACCACCTACGCTTGACTAGTGAGGATAGTGAAGCAAAGATATATAAAGAAGTCCAGGATGATACTCCTATGTATAGTACTTGTGATCATAAAATGCCTGCAGATGTCATGTCCCCAGGTTCTGCAAATTACGCAATTATAACTGTATTTAACGGAGACTGTACCAGCCTCATTGGAGACACACGGAGGAGATCAACTGAATCTATCTCTTCTAGAACCTAGACTTAAATTGTGGGCTAAAAATCCAATATGGAAGGTGGTAACATAAACCTTCTGAGATTTGATAAACAAACCCTTTCTCTTCAGGTTCCTGCAATCTGATTTTTTAAGAATATTTGAAATAGGGCTTTAATATGCAATTGTACATCTAAAATGTAATAATATAAAACAGAATTTATTAATAAATCCTCTGAGTTATAAATTGCTTCTGATAACCAAAATTACATCCTACTAATCCAACATCATCAAACTCTAGTTTGAAAGTAAAATATGTCAGAGTGGAATTTCAGTGGGTTTGGTGACATACCTTTCCGGAAGTGACTCACAATACCAAATTCCATATGAAATTGCCACATTTTAGCACAAAAATGTTTGGCATTATTGAATAAGCACCTCCACACCTCAGGCACCATGGATGCACACTCCACCTCACTGAGCCAGTCAGGAGGCTCTTGTTTGACTCTTAACTGTCCTCTCTCCCTCACATCTGTGCCATGACCCGCTCTTGTGACATCACCCATAGACATGGGGTGAACTTCCACATGTATGTAGATGATACCCAACTCTACTTCTCTGCCTCCACCCACGGCTGTCCTCACAGACTGCCTGTTGGATATCAAGTCTTGGATGAGAGCAAACTCCTCCAGTTGAATGTCAACAGGACAGAGGCCTTCCTGCTTAGCTCCCCTCAGCACCTCCTTACCTCAGGCACTAACTGCACCACAGTTCATGGAGCCAATACGGAACCTCGGCGTCCTGTTTAGCCCACAACTGTCCTTCATCCCCCAAATCCATGCCATGACCAGCCCCGCCTTTCCCCACCTCCGCAACATTGCCCAGTTCTGCCACTGTCTCCGCGACCCTATCATCCCCATCTTTGCCCGGCTCCGCTGGCTCCCCATCCCTCAGAGGATAGAGTTCAAAATCCTTGTCCTCATCTTCAAGGCCCTGCACGGCCTTGCTCCTTCCCACCTCTGTGACCAGCTATTCCCATATTAACCTGTCCGCTACCTCCGCTCAGCAAGCTCTGGCTTGCTCCACTTCCCCCACGCGTCTCCCTCATCATTGGCGGTCAGACTTTCAGCCTTTCTGCCCCCGTCCTTTGGAACTGCATCCCACATTCCCTTTGCCTTGCTCCCTCCCTTGCTTCCTTCAAGGCATATCTTAAGACCCTCTTCTTCGACCGTGTCCTCAGCCACCCTTCTACCCTCCCTGTCGTGCACCCTCCCTGCTCCAACCAACCTCCCCACGCCTCCCCCCCCGAAGTGCTCACAAAATGTCTAAAGTTTAGCTTGGGTCTAAAGGCTGAAATGTTTAGAAGTTTCAAACCTCACACTTTATGATATTGCTGGAAATCATGTCTGTTGTACCCTATGGTCAATTGCTGCTAATCACTGAATACTGCTGACTGCACTGGCTTCAATAGGAAATCTTTTTTTTATATGATGGCTATTCAGCCATTTAGTATTGGCTTTTCTCTCAAAGAGAGCCTAATGAGAAATTAAATTTAGATGATAGCCTTTATTCTGTTATTTCAAACCACCACAGACTAACTATTAATAACTCTATATTTTGAGGAAATCTGTATAGTAATGTTATTTTCCTTTAAGCACTCTGCTCTTTCAAAACAAATATGAATGTGGTTTAGTTTATTGTAGGTGTAGTACAGTATGTATATATTGTTTTGTTAAATAAATTTACTTTAACCTGTTGCAAATGTCGAAGTCTGGTTTAAATGTTGTCAGTTTAGTTTTACTGTGATTTGGTTTGATCGTAACTTCTGGACATAATTCGAACAAACATTGCATAATGGGTTACATTGCTTTGCACAACAACCTTGTTTCAATCCTGATTCTGGAAAGAAACACATCTTAGAACACATATTACATGTGTTAGGCATATGATGCCAAGGTCATATGTATAATCCTGTTTTTCACAGACAAGCAGATCGATTGGAATCATTTTATAAGAAGGGTCAAAGTTTTGCTTCTCTCTTGATGTATTCGCAGGTTGGTTTACACAGCCTGGAAAGGAATATAGTGTAATTTATCGAGTAATTTGGTACAAAATTCAAGCTGGTTCTAGAATTACTCCACCAACAAAACATTTCAGAGGGTTCAGACTTTGTTGAAGTTCTTAGATATAATCTTTAATCTGTTTTTCTTAAAAAAAATAGAAAACAGTCTGCAAAGTCAAAACTGAATTTAACAATTTGCCAAATCCTTTACACTCTGAAATTCCAGCGATTTGGGATATCCTCCCGATGTTAAAGGCACTTTACAAATGTAATTTGTTGTTGTTGAAATGTTAACTTAAGAGTAAATCTAGACCCGGTTGGAATTTTACCCAAGGTATTCCTTGTATCGCTCAAGAGCAGGTGATCTTGCCCATCAAGTCTGTAGGTACATTAGCAACAAATACGCTTCATCCTCCTCCTTGCAGACTTTAACTGCATAACAGATATGTAAATAGCCAGACCTTCATAAATCAATGGAATCCTGGTCATAAACTGTGAAATCTTACTGCATATTAAAAGTCTTCACAATCTTCACCTCACAAAGTGATATTAAATAGTCCCTGATCCAAATATCTTCTAAGCTGCTGAATATTGCACATATTTCTCCCTGCTTTATGAACTCTGATAAGGCCTTAACAAACTTGATTAGTTGTTTGTTTATTTTGGCAAACAGTTTTATACTTGAATTTGCCAAGGAGGATATCACTAAACCATTTGCCAGCACTAAAATCTGATATTCCACACCTGCTTACGTACTGCAACATAATAGTCGCTAACATTAGCGACCTGAGGAATTTCTCACCACTTGCTCCAAACATAGCGATTGCCTCATTTTTGTACGATTTGTGGGTATTACAAACAGGACATTAATACTGCACATTATTTGCCTCCACTTCACAGTGAAACAAAATTACGGCAGAGGTGCAAATGAACCAGTGTTAATTTGATACCAGATGTGTGACCACCTCAAATAAATCATTTCATATCAATTTGCCTTTACAAATTGGCAGCAGTATATCTTTAGGATTAAACTTTTAAGAAGAGCCTGGTCCGCTCTCCTGCCTTTAACTTTTTAATGTTAGAAATAGCTACTGCGTCATCAGCTCTTTGCTAACATTAGAAACTTCAGTAGCAGTCAAGGGCCAAGAAGCAGAGCTGAGAACATGTTATTAAATATGCATGTGGAAAGCTCTGTTCTTTCCTCACCAGAGAGGGTGAGAAGAAGGGATGTTAGGAGAATGTGGGCAGAGTATCTGAAAGCTGAGTTACCAATGATGGGATAGGCAAAGGTTATATGGCATACTTCAGTTTGAGAAGTGCAGAGAATGAATGGGAGAGTGTGGCACGAGAATATTGAAGAGGTGGGTGGTGTGAGGAGGCAAAAACATAGAGGGATTGGAGTCAGGGCGAAGATCTTGAAGTGAGTCTGCTGGACCCTGGCACGGATATAATAATAAAAATCATTGTATTTGATATAGCACCTTATCAGGTCTTCGAAAAGTCTCAAAGCACTTCACATAATTTACTGTTTAGTGAATTGACTATATTTTGTGAGCGAAACGCGGCAGCCATGTACGCACAGCAGTGTCCCACAAACAGTTGTGGATTAAGTGACCAAATTATTTTTATTTATTTTGAAGGAATTATTACTCCCAGAAAAGCAATCCGCCAATCGACTAACAACTGGATTGCTACTTACCTTTGGGTAAATAGAGGCATGTGGAGTAAGCAAAGTTGCCCAACATTTCGCCCTGCCGGGAATCGAATCCTCTCGCTTGCAAGTTGAGTGCTCTAACCACTAAACTACAGGGCTCGATAATATTTGAAGTCGAGGCCAGGAGAGGATATGTGCTACAAAGCTCTGAATAAGCTGGAGCTGATGGATAGTTAACAGCATAAAAAATGCTCTAAAAAACAGTATCTGTGACATAGCTGGAGATTAAGGGAACCAAATTCAGCTGCAAAATATAATCACACTCTACACTAATTCTGTAAATCAAATGTAAAAGGCGCTGTATAAAATGCAAGGATTTCTATTATTCAGTGAGCAAATATGCTACTGTTAATATGCTACTCTGTAGTAAGCATGGACTTACTTAATTAGGTAGTATGAGGTCAGTGAGTCAGTGATTAGAGGACTTCAATTTAAGATGGCTCGCAAACGAGCAAATGGAGGCATTTGGAGAATGTTTTTCACACGCACAGTTGTTAAGGATATGAAATATGTTGCCCGGAGCAGTGGTTGAGGCAAATCCATACCAGCTTTCAACAGATAGATATCTCACAAGTGTGGACTACAGGAGTGTGGGGGAAAAGCATGTAAATGGGTCTGAAAGCATTGCTCTTTGAAAGAGTCAGCACCGACATGAGAGGTTAAATGGCCTACTTCTGTGCTGTAAATTTATGTGGATCTATATTTCAGTAATTTAAAAGTATATTGGGCATATACTGAATATGCAATACACAATCAACCTAATCTTTTAGTGTTAGAGGTATGTTGAATAAGTTGCTTAACATTTAAATTAATACGGAATGGGGAAGTTAAAAACAGAACAAAGACAACATAGGCAGATAGATAGCACTGCTTAAACAAGAAACTTGAGAAAAATCTGCATTTGATGTAAAGAGGAAAAATATGAAAAGGACAGGAAAAAATAAAAGGGAGAGGGTTCGAAGAGGATGAATGAGTTAAAATTGAAGTGTCTCTGAAACTCACCAAAGCAGTGAGCAACTTTGGTGTCTGGTTTGATCCTCAGTTCTCCTTCGTTCCTTATATTTTGCCTTATCCCAAGAGCGCTTTTCTTCATCTTCACCACATTGCCCACGTCCATCCATAACTCACACAAAACACTGTTGAAACCCTCATTCACACAATTGTTAGCTCCCGAATCGGCTTCATCACCCGCAGACATGGTTCAACTTGCACACGAATGCGGATGACACCCAACTCTATTTTTCTGCTTCCACCCTCAACTCCAGGACCGCTGCTGTCCTGACAGAATGTCTGATATACAGTTGAAAGTCAACAAGAATGAAGCCTTCTTGATTGTCTTCTGTAAGCGCCTCCACACCTCAGGCACTGACAGCATCACCATCGATGGATGCACATTACACTTCAAGGAGCCATTCCGGAGCCTTAGCATCTTGTTTGACCCTGAACTGTCCTTTCTACCCCAGACCTGCTCTGCCTTGCCTCACCTCCGTAACTTCGCCCGGCTCTGCCACTGCCTCTTCCCTCAGGCCGCTGAAATCCTCATCCACGCATTTATCAGATCTAGCCTCGACTAGGCCAATTCCCTGCTTCCCAACTCTTCCCTTCAGAAGTTGCAGAGCATCCAGAACTCTGCAGCTCGTGTCCTCTCCCGGACCAGGCTCCATGACCCTATCACCTCCACCCTCGCCCGGCTCCACTGACTCCCCATCCCCCAGAGGATAGAGTTCAAAATCCTCATCCTTTCCTTCAAGGCCCTCCATGGCCTTGTTCCTTCCTACCTCTGTGACTAGCTAATCCCATATCAACCTGTCCGCTCACTCCACTCAGCAGGCTCCAGCCTTCTCC